GTATGTATGTATGTATGTATGTATGTATGTATGTATGTATGTATGTATGTATGTATGTATGTATGTAGTGAGTATATGTTTAACATTTAAGTTTGAGCCGGCTAGTCTTCATGACTTAGCGTCAATTTGAGGCTGTCGCAAAAAAAAATTGAAGCCCTGACGTCGTATGTCACATAATGAACGATAACTCAGGCTATTTCCTATCAAACCGAGGGAGGCCATCACGTGGACTTCGTCAAGCAGAACTAAGCAGTAAAATCAAACGACTACAGAAGAACACAAATCAGCCACCGTCTTGTGATGAGATCGACCTGCAAAGCACTTCATCAGGCATTGTCACATGAGTTGAAAGTCATCTCATTCATGAAATTCAAACCAGGCAGAGCTAAAAGCGCTATTTACCAGAAACCCAAATCTTTGTGGTAGGGTCATCTTGTCTCGGGACATTGTGAAAATATTTCGTTGAATTTTGCTGGAGCTCGCCCTAGTTCGTCGGCAGGAATGTGGTTTAGGCTGAGACCACCAAATGCCCTTGGGTCACGGGGCAGAAGTGAATGTCTAAACCATTTTGCATTTCTGTCGTGGGATTGTGGATGAAGCAAAGTTGTATTTGCTAGAGCGATCGACTACATTACTTATTTTCATCTTATAAGTAGATCATATGTATTCATAAACGAAAATAAGTAATCGAAGATATGAAGTCCAAAATGATGTGTCCTTCTGTATAGTCGAAGTCTCCGTGCGTTGTTCGACCGTATTTTCGCAACTGGGTCATATTGTCAGGAATACCTTGTCCGGAGTCCATAGTATGCTTGATAATTTCCACAGTCGGACCGTGGACTTGCGACATTCCCAGACATTTGCCCTGCATCATATTCGGCATCGTCAGGTAGCCTTGTTATGCTTAGCACCACACTACAACTCGTCAAGGAGACAAGTGAAGTCGATGCTTTGATCAACTGTCTGCTAAACAGTTGTGGTATCTCCCCTTCTTTCTTACTTGTTTATCTAGACCTATGTGAAATATATTCACACTCTCTGTTGGCTGCAGTTTAGTCCGCAATCTTCTCCCATCGGGTCCTAGCAAAGTC